CAGTTCATTCCGCCACTCTAACCACCCTGATTTTTACAGCCAGAAATTATACGGATTTATCTTCCTGGCACTGGAACCCTGGGCTGGGTGGTCTGGTATCCCTCACTCTCGAGATATCCATCCTGACATTTATCTACCATATGTGGTGTAGGACTGCCCATTCCTCATCTCCATCCATCTCTGTGTCTTTGCCTCTCCTACCTGTCTGGATGAATGTGACTTCTTTAATTCCTTGGTTGTCGGGCTTCCATACAACTTGATTTTTTGATGTTTTGTAGTTTAGTTGTAATTTCTGGTGTGGTTGTTTACCTATACCTTCATCTGTATAAAACACATTTTTTACTCAGAGGTTCTTCCATCTTTCTTGCATATTTGCCATCAGTGGGACTGTACTGTAATTTTCTCCTTAGAAAGAGTAATTTGTTTAAACTTGCTGTTTATCATCCTTTTATTTTCAACCTGTCTGCGTTTTTAAGTTTAATATGCATGTCTTGCGATAATATATAGTAAGTAGGGTCCTTTCATCTCTGTGTTTTGCATATACATGAAGTTATAAAATGTATAGTTGAGTCTTTGTGTGTGTTTTTTAAAGTAATATTATGGTCTGTCTTTTCATTGAAAGTGTTTAGTCCATTCACATTTATTTATGTACTTATTTAGAAAATTTTAAAAATATTTTATTTGCATTATTATTATTAGAGAGGGGAAGGGAGAGGGAAAGAGCAGGGGAGAAGCATCAATGTGTGGTTGCCTCCTGTGTGTCCCCCTGCTACCTCACTGGGGACCTGGCCGGCCACCCAGGCAGGTGCCCTAGACTGGGAATCGAACCAGTGACCCTTTTATTCACAGGCCAGCATTCAACTGCTGAGCCATACCACCTAAGGATAGTCCATTTACATTTAATGTATTGTAATTATTGACATGGTTCGGTTTAAGTTGATCATCTTGCTATTTATTTTTTATTAAGCTGGGCGGGGGAGGGGGTTTGTTGTCATTCCTCTAGTGCTCTATGCTGGCCTTCTTTTGGGTTATTTGAAATTTAAAAAAATGTTTCAGTATTGTACCTTTTCATATTTCGTACTTCACTTGGAGAAATATTAAAAAATTCTTTTTTCTTACTACTTTCTTTCATTATCTTTTGATCACTATCCTTTCCATTTTAAAAGCCTAACAAAGTTTTCTGTTAGAGTTACAATGAAATGAGTAGAGTCAAGGTCAGAAAAGATAATTCCAATGCTAGTCAGTGAGAACCAGCATCTGGGAATTAAAGGAGGGAAGTGTAGTACTACAGTACTGTATAGCACCTGTTGCTTCTAATAAAATTTAAATTCTTGAATAGGGCAGAAGGCAATGGACTGCTATTCCTAAATCTTCAGTGAGTAGCATTGCCTTTCAGAATCCTGTTATAAAGCTTTTTAAGTATCCTGCTTAATTAAGGATAATGTCATGATAATAGATTTTTCCTCTCATCCGCTGTACAGGGAAAATTGGGTGTTACTTTAGTGATTAAGCTTTTGTCTCCCTTCTCTTATCCCACTCTTTTATAACCAATCTTCTTTGTGTTGCTAAGGAAGGAACTCTGAACCAGGGGCTTTAAACTTTTTCTGTACAGTAATAAATATATCAATATATGTTGTTATATGTTACATGTAATATATATTACATACAGTGTATATTAATATATGATAATAATGTATCTTAGGCTTTGGAGCCACATATGTTCTCTATTACATATTCCTTTATTTTTTTAAACAACTCTTTAGTATATGAAAATTATTCTTTGCTCACACTTTATACAAAAAAACAGCCTGCCAGCTGGATTTGGTCCATAGGTTGTACTTGCCAACCTCTGCAATACACATTTGTTCTTTGCCTGCTGCTTCCCTTCTGCCAGTAGAGGACATTAGAGAAAATTAAATGTTCTGGACAGTCAGAAGGGACTTGGCCTTTCCCATTGTATTTTCCATTCCTGTCATCATCTGAAATGCATGCTTTTTTATTTGTCACTCTGCCAGCAGCAACCGTTTCCAGTTTCTTAATTTTTTCATACCCTAGAAAACAACCACATCAGGGTTTATTCGTCAGCGATCTGGGTCCCAAGTCTTCAGGGTGCCTCCTCTGAGATTTTAGGTTCTAATAACCCCACTTCTTCCCTTCATTACCTTAAGCCCTATGGATGAAAACTCTTTCTTGCAATTATCTTGGTGTTACCTGTTGCCTTTCAGGCCTTTAATGTACAGGGTGTGGCAAAAGTAGATTTACAGTTGTGAGTATGCAAACCACAGTTTATTCTTATATCATTATTAATTATTGTATTATTTCCCATGTGGAAAACTAAACCTTTTTTTGCCCCACCCTGTTCACTTAGCTAGTTCATTTTATTAAAATTCTCCCTGTTGAAATAACTTTGATTTCTGTCTTTTTGATTCTATTCTTGACTATTAAAGCTGCACATGTGAGTTTATGGAAATTGACCACAAAGAATAATCATCTGAGACCTAATGAGAGCTGTCAGAATTGTGTAATTTGAATATTGTCAGTCAGCCTCTTCACTGTTTTAAGAGCCATTGGTAAGCTTCTAGGTTTCAAAACCTTTAGAGAGTATTAAATGATTTGTGTTCTTAAGATGTCACATTTAAACCTTCCTTACACTTTTCGGTTCATTTTATTTTAAGAATATTATTTTATTTTTTAGCCCTGGCTGGTGTAGTACAGTGGATTGAACTCAAGCCTGTGAACAGAAGGATCGCCAGTTCAATTCCCAGTCAGGGCACACGACTTGGTTGTGGGCCAGATCCCCAGTAGCGGTGCGAGAGAGGCAACCACACATTGATGTATCTCTCCCTCTCTTTCTCCTTCCCTTCTCCTCTCTCTAAAAATAATAAATCAAATCTTAAAAAAAATAATATTATTGTATTTTATTTTTATATATTTTATTGATTATGCCATTACAGTTGTCCCATTTCACCCCCTTCATTCCCCTCCACCCTGCATACTACCTCCCCCTCACATTTTCCCCCTTTAGTTCATGTCCATGTGTCACAAGTTCTTTAGATTCTATGTTTCCCATACTATTCTTGCCCTCCCCCCTGTCTATTTTCTACCTACCGTCTTTGCTACTTATTCTCTGTACCTTCTCCTCCCTTCTCCTCCTCCCACTCCCCTGTTGCTAACCCTCCATGTGATCTCCATTTCTGTGGCTCCACTCCTGTTTTAGCTGTCCACTTAGTTTGCTTCTGTTTTAGGGATGGTTGTTAATAACTGTGCGTTTTCTGTTCTTTTACTGTTCATATTTTTATCTTCTTTTTCTTAGGTAAGTCCCTTTAACATTTCATATAATAAGGGCTTGGTGATGATGAACTCCTTGAATTTGACCTTATCTGAGAAACACTTTATCTGCCCTTTCATTCTAAGTGAAAGCTTTGCTGGATAGATCAAACTTGGTTGTAGGTCTTTGGATTTCATGACTTCGAATATTTCTTCCCAGCCCTTTCTGGCCTATAAGGTCTTTTTTGAGAGCTTCTCAGCTGGCAGTCTGATGGGAACTCCTTTGTAGGTGACTGTCCCCTTAGCTCTTGCTGCTTCTAGAATTCTCTCCTTCATTTTAATCTTGGCTAATGTAAAGGTGATGTGCCTTGGTGTGTTCCTTCTTGGGTCCAACCTCTTTGGGACTCTCTGAGCTTCCTGGATTTCCTGGAAGTCTGTTTCCTTTGCCAGATTGGGGAAGTTCTCCTTTATTGTTTGTTCAAATAAGTTTTCCACTTGTTGTTGTTCTTCTTCCCCTTCTGGTACCCCTGTAATTCGGATGTTGGAATGTTTAAAGATGTCCTGGAGGTTCCTAAGCCTCTCCTCATTTTTCGAATTCTTGTTTTTTTATTCTCTTCTGTTTGGTTGTTTCTTTCTTCCTTCTGGTCCACTCCATTTATTGTAGTCCCAGTTTTGTTTCCATCACTATTGGTTCCCTGTGCATTTTCCTTTATTTCACCTAGTGTAGCCTTCATTTGTTCATCTAATTTGTGACTACAATCAACCAATTCTGTGAGCATCCTGATCACCATTGTTTTGAACTGTGCATCTGATAGGTTGGCTATCTCTTGGTCGCTTAAAAGTATTGGCTCTGGGGCTTTGATTTGTTCTTGTGTTTCAGCTATACTTTTTTGGTCTTCTCGCCCCTGTTTTGTGGTGAGGGGTGGAGCCTTGGGTGTTCATCAGGCAGGGCAACCCAGTCAACCCATCATCATACAGGGTTATGATACTGTATGTGGGGGCGGGGTCAGAGGGAACATTGGTGCTTGCTATGCTGTCTCTCGGATTTCAGTCCCCTCTGCCACTTTTCACAAGCAAACTGGGCCCTTCTGGTGCTGGTTCCCTGGGTGGGTGGGCTTATGTGCATCCTAGGGTCCTGTGAGTCTCTCCAACGACCTCTCCTGTGAGGCTGGGAATCTCTTCCCGAACCTCAACCCCCGCAAGTTTTTTCAGTTGGCGCTTTTTTAGTTGGTGCTTTATTTTTTTATCTGTGGGCCCTGGGTTGCACAGTCTGCCTCACTGCTGGTTTTTTGCCTGGTTTATCTGTGCACGAATGTGTGTCCGGGGTTGGCCAGCTGCCTTGTGTGGGTCACTGGGTCTGCTCATTTCCTCCTTGTGTCCCGGGTTTGCTAGCCTCATGCTGCCTGTGCGCCGGGGTCTGGTAACCATCGCTTTTTCCAGCTGCGATCTCCCCTCTGCTGGCCACTGACTCTGCCCCTCTTACCAGTCTGGATGAATGGTTTGTTGTCAGACTTCCGTACAGTTCAATTTTCCGTCTGTTCTGGTTGTGTTTTTGTTTCCATATCTTTGTTGTCCCTAAATTTGGTTTGCGAGGAGGTACGGTGTTTCCACCTACGCCTTCATCTTGGCCAGAGGTCTGTATTAGAAGTTTTCACTTGAAAGTTCACATTTAGATCTTTGTCATATGGTAAGTTAAGTGTAATTCTTAATACTTCTCTTTGTTTCTTCCTCAGGATACAGCCAGTGTGAAGTCCTCCAGTAGTCTAGAACCCAATCTTTTTTGTGATGAAGAGATTCCTATTAAGTCTGAGGAGGTGGTCACTCACATGTGGACAGCACCTTCATTCTGTGCAGAACATGCTTATTCTTCTGCTTCTAAGAGTTCTCAAGGTATTACTCTTTACAGCAGTGTGGAGAAGATAATTCTGAAACCAGTGAGAAAAAAAAAAACATTTCTTAAACAAGACTATGAATCCCTCTTAAATACATATCTTTCCCATGAAATACTACTAGAATCTAAAAGTGCAATTTTGGTTAGGAGAAGCCAGTCCCTATTTGCATTCTTTGTTATAAGGTGATAATCTGAAAACTTAACATAGAATTATTGGATCCTAATTAGAAGAATTCTAGAGGCCATCTAGTCCAACTCTCTCTTTTTTTTTTCTTTTTTAAATTCTCACCCAAGGATATATTTTTATTGATTTTAGAAAGAGAGGAAGGGTGGGATTGGTGGGGAGAGAAAGAGAAAAAGTGAAAAACAGTGATCGGTTGCCGTATGCACCTTATCCGGGGATCGAGCCCACAACCTAAGTATGTGCCCTGACTGGGAATCGAACTTGCAGCATTGAGACATGGGAGGATGCTCCAACCAACTGAACCACCCAGCCAGGGCCAATCTCTCATTTTTATAAAATCCCTGATAAGGAGTCATTTACCCTTCTTTTTTGTTCATTACCATTATTGAGGAACTTGCTGCTTTTGAAGAATATTAACCCTAGTTTCAGAAAGCTTTGCAGAAAGCTTTTTCTTTCCTTGGTATATAATATCTTTGTTACATCCACTTTCTTTTTCCCAGTGAAAATAAGTCACACTGCTTTAGGTTCCACCTCTGTAAAATGAAGTGTGTTCATCTCTTCATAGTAAAATTCAGAATTTTACAGAACAGGATATTGAAACTGACCTTTGAACAATGTGGTGGTTAGGGGCACTAACTCACTGTGCATTCTTAAAGTTAGCATATAACTTAAGTCAGCACTGTGTATACACAGACTTTCAGCCAAGATGGAGGCATAGGTAGACACACTGTGCCTCCTCACACAACCAAAATAAGAACAACAAAAATTTAGAAGCGAAAAACAACCAGTACTGACAGAAAATTGAACTGTATGGAAGTCCAACAACCAAGGAGTTAAAGTAGACATGTTCATCCAGACCGGTAGGAGGGGCAGAGTTAGGAGGCTTGCAGAGAGGGGTTGTTGCAAAAAAAAAAAAGAAAAAGAAAAAGAAAAAAGCAGTGGCTGGTGGGCCCAGGGCATGCAAGGCAGCAGCTGGTGGACCCAGTGAGGTAGCAGATTGTGGAGGAGTGCCTTGTGAAAGGTGGCTGGTGGACCAGGAGGTCCCACATTCATGTGCAGATAAACCAGGTGAAACTGGGGAGCAAGACAGACCACACAACCCAGGTTTCCAGTGCGGGGAAATAAAGCCTCAAAACACCAATTGAAAACACCTGTGAGGGTTGACGTGGCAGTGGGAGAAATACCCCAGCCTCACAGGAGAGTTCATTGGAGAGACCCACAGGGTCCTAGGATGCACACAAACCCACCCACAGGAGAAGGGCCCAGTTTTCTTGTGGGTAGCAGGGGAAGTGACTAAAATCCAGTAGAGAGCAGAGCAAGCACCATTGTTTTCTCTTGGACCCCTGCCCCAAATACAGCCCAGTGACTGGGTTGCCTGGCCTTGGCGAACACCTAAGGCTCCGCCCCTCACTACGTAACAGGTGCAAAAGAAAATGGCCCAAACGAAAGAACAGATCAGAATTCCAGAAAAAATACTACTAAGCTATAAAGAGGTAGCCAACCTATCAGATGCACAGTTCAAAGCACTGGTGATCAGGATGCTCACAGAATTGGTTGAATTGGTCGTAAATTAGATGAAAAAATGAAGGCTATGCTAAGTGAAATAAAAGAAAATGTCCAGGGAACCAATAGTAACGGGAAGAAAACTGAGACTCCAATCAGCAGTGTGGACCAGAAGCAAGAAAGAAACATCCAGTCAGAAAAGAAGGAAGAAACAAGAATTCAAAAAATGAGAGGCTTAGGAACCTCCAGGACATCTTAAAACATTCCGACATCCGAATTATAGGGGTACCAGAAGGAGATGAGGAAGAACAACAAGTGGAAAACTTATTTGAACAAATAATAAAGGAGAATTTCCCTAATTTGGCAAAGGAAGCAGACTTCCAGAAAGTCCAGGAAGCTCAAAGAGTCCCAAAGAAGTTGGACTCACGGAGGAACACACCAAGGCACATTATAATTACATAACCCAAGATTAAAAGTAGGGAGAGAATCCTAGAAGCAGCAAGAGAAAAAGAGACAGTTATCTACAAAGGAGTTCCCATCAGATTGTCAGCGGATTTCTCAAAAGTGACCTTGCAGGCAAGAAGGGGCTGGAAAGAAGTATTCCAAGTCATGAAAGGCAAGGACCTACATTCAAGATTGCTCTATCCAGCAAAGCTTTCATTTATAATGGAAGGGCAGATAAAGTGTTTCTCAGATAAGGTCAAGTTAAAGGAGTTCATTATCACCAAGCCCTTCTTATATGAAATGTTAAAGGGACTTATCTAGGAAAAGGAAGATAAAAAACATGTATAGTAATGACAGCAAACTCACAGTTATTAACAACCACACCAAAAGCAAAAACACACTAAGCAAAACAACTAGAACAGGAACAGAACCACAGAAATGGAAATCACATAGAGGGTTAGCAACAGGGAATTGGGAGGAGGAGAGAAGGAAGAAAAGGTACAGAGAACAAGTAAGCATAGATGGTAGGTAGAAAATAGATGGGAGGGTAAGAATAGTATGGGCAATGTAGAAGCTGAAGAACTTACAAGTATGACACATGGACATGAACTAAAGGGGGGGATGTGGGTGGGAGTGGGTGTGCAGGGTGGAGGGGAGTGAAGGGGGAAATGGGACAACTCTAATGGCATAATCAATAAAATATATTTAAAAAATACAGTTGATCCTTGAATGAGGCAGATTTGAACTGCATGGTGAGTTCACTTATATGTGGATTTTAAAAATCTGCATTTAATTGTATTTGGGGTTTTCTGTCTATATGTAGACCCTGACATGTGCAATTTAAACACATCTGTTTAAGGGTCAATTGTGTTGCCTGTTCATTAGAAGAATAACCAGTTTTATAGGGTGGGTATTTGTTTAATCTATTGGTATCCTCTAAAAGGGAGAGACTATGGGTTAAGAGATTCTTTTCTATTCTCTTTCCATCACAGGATAAAGAAATAATAAGGAACCAGTTTTTCCTCTAAACCAATTTTTTAGACTGGATACTAGAATTCTAGATGTTTTTGCTCTATATTTGTTTTTAATTTCATTTTTACACTCATAGTGATGTAGTCAATCCAGATTTCCAAAGTATTGGGGGAGAAAGAACGATTTTTGTAAGATACTTACTTTGGAAACTTTACATTTTTTCCATAGTTTTTAGTTTTGTTTTGTCTTAATGTTTTTTTGGAAAGGTTCAAGCACCCCAAGGAAACAACCTCGGAAGAGCCCTTTGGTACCCCGAAGTTTGGAACCTCCAGTATTGGAGTTGTCGCCTGGAGCTAAAGCCCAGCTGGAAGAGCTTATGATGGTTGGAGATCTCCTGGAAGTATCACTGGATGAGACTCAACATATATGGCGGATATTGCAGGCCACACACCCACCCTCTGAAGACAGATTCCTGCATATCATGGAGGTATGGATTTAAAGCTTAAACAAGTGGTTGTAAAACTACTTAGAATGCCCAAGTTCCTTGGAGGTCCCATGAATGCTGGCAAGGAGAGATGGCTGAGTGGGTAGTATTCTGGCTGTCCTACTTTCTGTTGTTTTTTTTTTTGTTTTTTGTTTTTTATATTTTATTTATTTATCTTTAGAGGGAAGGGAAGGAGAGAGGGAGAGAAACATCAATGTATGGTTGCCTTTCATGCGTCCCCTGCTGGGAACTGGCCTGCAGGGAACCAGCCTGCAACCCCGGTATGTGCCCTGACTGGGAATCGAACCGCGATTGTCTGGTTCGCAGGCCCGCGCTCAATCCACTGAGCTATACCAGCCAGGGCCTACTTTCTGTTTAAGCTAAGTCATTTTATTTTATAGTTTTCTTTAAGGAAATATTATGTGATAAAAAATTCAGAGGAAAAACAGGTAATTTGTGCTAAAAAGAAAAGGGAATATTGAAAATCATTGATATAGAACAGTTTCCTTAGCCCAGGTTTCCATTATTCAAAGGCCCAAAAGTCAGGGGAAAAAAATATAGTGGTTAAAGAAAGAAACTTCCCAAGTCTTGGCTTATGCTGCCAGCTTTCCTGAAATCTCTCAAACAAGGAGCTTCTGGCCTTGGTGTGCCTCATACCTCTTGGTAAATGGCCCTAGGCCCAGTGCTAGTGGCAGCCAGCCTTGGTTTGCAGCTTGACCTGCCTTGGGCATCTTCAAGCCTAACATAAGTAGTAACTATCTGCAGATTGCTTTGTAGCTCATGCCAAGTGGCCCTGGTAGGGCACAGGCAACCGCTGACCTTGGCCTGCATCTCATGGAAGGCTCTAAAGATGATGGACCTGGTGGGCAGCTTCAGACCTTGCCAAAGCATCACTTCCACAAGTGATACACTCAAGAGGTGGACTCAGCAGGCAACAGAGCTCCACTGAAGTGAGTCCTGCTCCACTGGGTTGGCCCCAGCACAGCATGTCCTCCTTGGTGGTTGCAGAAATTCCTCGAATCCAACTGGCTTAGAAGAAAGTCTCTCTCGTTGACACACTAACAACAGTCAAGACAACTACAATAGGAGGGTGCACACAGTCCACATGGGGAGTGCCCATGGAAAGCCCAGCTCAGGTGACCAGGGAGGCTGCACCACAGGGCTCTAGAGGATAGCTACTACATAAGGTTACCTACAACATAAGGTCACTCTACCAAGACTAAGAGATGTAGAAGCTCTACCCTAATGCATAGAAACAGACACAGGGAAGTGGCCAAAGTGAGGACAAAGAAACATGGCCCAAATGAAAGAATAGAATAAAACTCCAGAAAAAGAACTAAAGAAAATGGAGAAAGACCATATACTAGATACAGTGTTCATATAACACTGGTTATAAGGATGCTCAATGAACTTAAGGGAAGTGTGAATGAACTTAATGAGAGCTTCAACAGCATAAAAAGGACACAGAAACCATAAGAAAACAAGTCATAAATGAAGGATACACTAACTGAAATGAAGAATAATTTACAGGGAATTAACAGTAAAGTAGATGAAACCAAGAATCAAATCAGTGATTTGGAATATGAAGAAGCAAAACACACACAATCAGAACAGCAAAAGAAAAAAGAGGATAATATAAGGAACCTCTGGGACAACTTCAAGCATACCAACATTCACATCATGGGGGTGCTGGAAGGAGAAGAAAGAGCAAGAAATTGAAAACCTATTTGAAAAGAATGACAGAAAACTTCCGTAACATGGTGATGACAATAGTTATGCAAGTCCAGAAATTGTAGAGAGTCCCAAACAAAATGAACCCAAAGAGGCCCATACCAAGACACATCATAATTAAAATGTCAAAGGCTAAAGACAAAGAGAATCTTAAAAGCAGCAAGAGAAAAGCAGTCAGTTACCTACAAGGGAGCTTCCATGAGATTGTCAGCTGGTTTCTCAACAGAAACTTTGCAAGTCAGGTGGGATTGGCATAAGGTATTTACATAGATGAAAGGCAAAGACCCAGCAAAACTATTATTTAGAACCGAAGGACATAATAAAGAGCTTCCTAGACAAGGGGAAAAAAACAAAAACCTAAAGGAATTCATCACCATTAAGCCAGTATTACTTGAAATGTTAGGGTCTTTTTCTAGAAAAATAAGAAAAAAAGTTAAAAATACTAACTGTAAAATGAGACTAAATACATAACTATCAACAGTTGAACCTAAAAAACAAAATAAATGAAAAAGCAGAACAGAAACAGACTCATAGATACAGAGAACATTTTGATGGTTGTCAAATGGGGGGAGGTTTGGGATGGGTGAAAAGGGGGAAGGGATTAAGAAGTACAGATTGGTAGTTACAGAAAAGTCATGGGGATGTAAATTACAGCATAGGGAACATAGTAATATTCTAATAATTGTGTGTGGTCTCCAATGGGTGCTAGATTTCTTGGGGGTGATCACTTTGTAAATTACATAAATGTCGAATTATTGGATTGTACACCTGAAACAAAGTTATTATTTTCTTTTTCTGTTTTTTTTTTTTTTTTTTTTTTGTTATAAAATCAAGCTTCCTAAGGAAACAGTTATACAGAAATGGGGAGGGAAAGTCCATATTGATCTGTTACACCTGCATAGCAGTTTGTAATATATAGTGTTTATATATCTTTGATCTCATTTGATCCTCACTGTAATCCTAAATGGGAGAGGGAAAAGGATAGACAAGGCAAGTAGTTGTAGCCTTTCTGCATGTGAAGAAATGAAGGATGCAAGAGGTAGAAACTTTCCTAAGATCACACATGTAGTAAAAACAGTGAGACTTGGTTTCTAACTGTGGCATTTGATTCCTAGTATTCTTTTCATTATTTGTGTCTGTGTAATGGAATGGTACAGTGTCACCAATAGTTGATACAGATACGCTTAGCATACTATAGTTTAGTTTGTTTTTGGTTTGAAAGTCAAATCTAAGGTATAGCCTACTATAAAAAATGTTTTCCAGTCCACAGAGCATTTTCTTCACATTCATTATCTCATCTGATTCTCTTTCTCTTATTTTACATATAAGGAAACAAAGTATTTAGAAGTTAAATATCCTGTTCAAGATGTAATAGAGTTAGACATTTTTAATGCAGTGTTTTTTTGAGTCTGCAGATTTTTAGTTTCCTGTAAAAGATTTTTCAGTCTCAAATCTGGAAAAATTCTCAAGTGTTATCTTCTAAGTAATTATCAAACTTGTATTTTCAGTTTTTCTTCTACTTTCCCCTTGCTCTTTCTGTTCCTAGATATACCTTTACTATTAAAACTTTAATATTTATTACATTGGCACAAAATAACAATATTAGAAAGTTGAAATTAAAAATGATAATTTTTTTCTTTTTTAAAATATATTTTATTGATTATGCCATTACAGTTCTATTCCCCCCCTTCATTCCCCTCCACCTTGCACACCCCCCTCCCCCACTGTTCCCCCCCTTTAGTTTATGACCACGTGTCTCAAATTCTTTAGATTCTGTATTTCCCCTGCTATTCTTACCCTCCCGCCTATCTATTTTCTATCTACTGTCTATGCTACTTATTTTCTGTACCTTCTCCCTGCTTCTTCTCCTTCCACTCCCTTGTTGCTACCCCTCCATGTGATCTTCATTTCTATGGTTCTGCTCCTGATCTAGTTGTCCTCTTAGTTTGCTTTTGTTTTAGGTGTGGTTGTTAATAACTGTGAGTTTGCTGTCCTTTCACTGTTCATCTTTTTTATCTTCTTTTTCTTAGGTAAGTCCCTTTAACATTTCATATAATAAGGGCTTGATGATGATGAACTCCTTGAATTTGATCTTATCTGAGAAACACTTTATCTGCCCTTCCATTCTAAGTGAAAGCTTTGCTGGGTAGAGCAATCTTGGATGTAGGTCTTTGGATTTCATGACTTGGAATACTTCTTTCCAGTCCCTTCTTGCCTGTAAGATCTCTTTTGAGAAATCTGCTGACAGTCTGATGGGAACTCCTTTGTAGGTGACTGTCCCCTTAGCTCTTGCTGCTTCTAGAATTCTCTCCATTTTAATCTTGGCTAATGTAAAGATGATGTGCCTTGGTGTGTTCCTTCTTGGGTCCAACTTCTTTGGGACTCTCTGAGCTTCCTGGATTTCCTAGAAGTCTATTTCCTTTGCCAGATTGGAGAAATTCTCCTTTATTATTTATTCAAATAAGTTTTCCACTTGTGGCTGTTCCTCTTCCCCTTCTGGCACCCCTATAATTCTGATGTTGGAACGTTTAAAGATGTCCTGGAGGTTCCTAAGCCTCTCCTCATTTGTTTGAATTCTTGTTTCTACATTCTTTTCTGATTGGTCATTTTTTTCTTCTTTCTGGTCCACTCCTTTGATTTGAGTCCCAGTTTCCTTTTCTTTACTATTGGTTTCCTGTGCATTTCCACTCATTTCAATTAGTTTAGCCTTCATATGTTCCTCTACTTTGTGACTAAAATCAAGCAGTTCTGTGAGCGTCCTGATCACTAGTGTTTTGAACTGTGCATCTGAAAATTTGGCTATTTCTTCATGGCTTAGATTTATCGGCTCTGGGGCTCTGAGTTCTTCTTGAGCCATGTTTTGATCTGTTCTTGCCTGTTTCGTGTGAGGAGCGGAGCCTTAGTTGTTCACCAGGGCAGCGCCACCCAGGTGGCTGGTATGACACTGTAGGTGGGGACGGGGTCATAGAGGGACAATGGCGGTCCCCTCTGCCTCTTCCTGCCACTGGGGCCTGCACGGTCTCTCTCACCGCTCCCTCCTTCACTGGTTTATCGGTTTGGCTGAAGTGTTTGTTGTTGTCAGACTTCCATGAAGTTCAATTTTCTGTGTTTTTGTCTGTGGTTTTGTTGCTAAAACTTTGTTGTTTTTAAACTTGGTTGTGGGAGAAGGCACAGTGCTTCCACCTACGCCTCCATCTTGGTGGAAGTCCAAATGATCATTTTTTTTTGCCTTGTCACATCAACTATTTTCTAGCTCTTGCCAAAGTCACTACATACCCTTTCTAGTGAGATCATGATACAATTTTATATGTTTTGATAAGATTTCTACTAACTTATTAACCTCCAAGGATTTATTGAGTTAATAAAGAGCTATAGTAGTGGTACATGGAGAGAAAAAATTATTACATAATTTAATTTACTACATTTAGTTTTCTGAGTGTGTTTTCCTCTAAAACAGAGGTGCTACAGATTATATTAATATATGCTAACAATGAAACTTTTTGCTCTCTTTTCCCCTAACAAGCTAAAAATAAGTGAGGTATTTTATTTAGGGCTTGCCATTATTTTCTGTTATTGATTATCTTCACTGAATATTATACTTGCCTTATTAAAATGCCTTTTAAGTATTTTAAACATTTTAGAATATTTATTATGGTTAATGTATACAACACAAAATTTACTATTTAATCCTTTTTACTATTTACTATTTTTACTATTTTTATAATGTTTACTATTTTAATCCTTTTAAAGTTTACAGTTCAGTTGTATTAGTTACATTCATAGTGTTATACAATGATCACCATTATCTATGCAGAAATTTTTAAACATCCCATATAAAAACTCTATATCCATTAGGCAATAAACTTTATTTCTTCCTTCCCCATTAACCTCTACTATAATTTGTGTTTACGTGTTTGACTCTTCAAGATAACTCACATAAAAGAACCAAACTGTTTTTAAATGTCTTAATTGAACATTTTTTCTAATTTTATATTTTTGAAGGATGACAGCATGGAAGAAAAACCATTAAAAATAAAAGGAAAGGACTCTTCAGAGAAGAAACGGAAACGGAAGCTAGAAAAAGTAGAACGGCTCTTTGGAGAAGGAAAACAGAAGTCCAAAGAGGTAAAGAAGATGGATAAACCTAAAAAGAAGAAATTAAAATTAAGTACAGAAAAATCAAAGGAGCTAAACAAACTGGCCAAGAAACTAGCAAAAGAAGAAGAGAGAAAGAAAAAGAAGGAGAAGGCTGCTGCAGCCAAAGTTGAGCTTGTGAAAGAGAATACTGAGAAGAAGAGAGAGAAAAAGGTGTTGGACATTCCCTCAAAGTATGACTGGTCAGGAGCAGAGGAATCTGATGATGAGAATGCTGTGTGTGCAGCACAAAACTGCCAAAGGCCCTGCAAAGACAAGGTAAGTTCTAAACAGATGTAGCGCAAGTGTGAGAGAGGACAAGGAGCAAGCAGCAGGTGTACAGACACATGTTTAACATCACGATAGTTTGTTTTTGATCCCAGGGTTTGTGCTTCCAACATATTTTCTACAGTCCCTATAAACTGTTTTTCGAATTATGAGTCTCTTAGATCAGTGTGCTTAGTAGAAGAAATGTTGTATTTTAAAATTTATATATTTAGTGAACATAATGAGGCAAGAGCAGAGGGGAGCTATGTGATAACCTAGGGCAGCAGTGCATTTCATATGCAATTGGCATAAAAAGTTTCAAAATAGTCTTAGCCTTCCCCATGGGGTGACTCAGAGAACTAAATACTTTGTTAGTGACCTGAAAATATGCTTGGCCTGTATTCTGAGAGCTCTGGCAAATTGCATTAAAATTTGTTCTAATAACCTAAAACTAAGGAGTTAAGTCTTCCCTTTTTGATCTGGGATGTCATATCTATTACTCAGGCCTATGTGCACTCTCTGAAGTGGAATATGATGTTTTGAAATCCCTTGTAAAAAATAATTAAGACTTTAAAGGTAATGTTTAAAAACTTTTAGTCCTTAATTTTAAGTATAGTAATTGTGTAAGTGGCCATCCTTTAGGTAGTATTAATGTTCTCAGAAAGATGAATGGACTTTATGAAAAAATCTCAGTTCATAAGATTACTGGAGATATCTATTATGGTTCTTATCAAGGTTATTAGTAAGTTCATAGTTTTAATTTTATTATGCTCATTATATGATTTGGTATTTAGAATTTTAATAGCTTCTCAGTTTGAATATATGAACAGAATAAATACAGCTGCATCATTATTTCCTCAGTTCCGTCCTTAATCAGATATTGATAGAGCTTGGAAAGGTCACAACATCCAGGGGGTTTCATTTTGTAAATGATGAAACAAGGACTCATTGAAGAAAGTGATGTGACCAAACTCACAGAGCTAATTAGTGGCAAGAGCATAAGTAGAACTGTGGTTACCTGGCCCCACAGACCAGGTTCTCTCCACTAATAGCCTCAGCCCACCATTAATTGAGATGTAAATACAAAATCACATTTCAAAACTTAATGGCACTTATATTTAAATTATATTTATTAAAGTTTTTCCACTCATTTTTGGCAAGTGAATATGTAGTAAAATGTATATCCTATAGTCTGACCTTCCAAGGATATAGCTATAAATATTTTTGTGTGTTTACTTCGTCCTTTTTTATATGATTTATTTTATATCATGTCATACTGTCTGTTCACTTTGGTATCTTTATTAATTTCATAAGAATTTTTATATACTTTAAACATTTTAGTAGATGTATGTGTGTGTTTTTATTTTTGATTTTGAATTTATTCTCATCTGAGCTTGTTATTAAAGAGGCTGATGAAAGGTTAACTGTTTCTCTTTGGGTATTAGCAGCTCAATGTTGGCAGAACCTTCTCTCTTTCTCCTTCAACTAATTTTATGGCAGTTTTGGGACTGTCAGCAAAATATGTTTCTTTTTCAAGCTTGCCTATTATCCTTATAGTTTTTATATCTGGTATGATTCTATTACCTTCTCTTTTCCTCCTTTTATCTTCTTGTAGCATATAAACACTACACATAGTTTTTTTCTTTGTTATAAAATTTTAAAATTAACTTGCTTATTCTCAAGGTTATGAGAATAAGTGAGATAATCTCTATGAAAGTATTCGTTAACCAGATGTGCAATGTAAGGGTTAAAGTGTGATCATTATTATTAAATGAGCCCTAAGATTTGCTCCTACCAGTATAGGTTATTTTTTAAAGAAATTTAGAAAGTTATCTACATTGCAAATGGAGCAAAAAGAGATTTAACATTCAGAGAAAATGTTTATTTTAAACTGTTAAACACATACAAAGGTGAGGAGTGTGTGCCTTAAGCTGTCATTAGCTTACATAAAAGAAACTTAGTAAATAATGTATTTCTGTAATGTATATTTAATTTTAAACAAATTATTTCAGATTTTAAACATTTTGCCCATCGTTGGTATTTTGCAGTTTTTGTGGTTCTTCAGGTTTGTTCCTGACACCAGTTTCACTGTATAAAAGGTATATTTCTTTATAAGCTTTGTATTGAATTTTATAACTTTCTCAATTTGAAGTATAATATTTCTCTAAGAAGATCCAAATTAATGTATGGCACACATCTCAGAACAAAATACTGACAAGAAAAGAATGCTGTTTGGGTAGTTTATCTTTTTAAAAATAACATGCAGTAAAAAATGATTTAGGGTTCATTCATATTTAGGTAAATGTATATTTACCATTTTTCTAACCAATTACTGTTTCCCCAAAATGGGCAGACTGAGAATACTTTGAAGAATTACCTAAATGTTACCCAGCCTCAATTTCAAAATATTTTACAAAGAGAAAGGGAAAGTATCAGAATAGAGTATTTAAAAAACTGTCTCTCCCATCATATTCTGACTTGCTTGCAACATTCTTACTCCTACCACTGAAATTCTGTCTTAAGAAACCCATCAGTCTTGGGCAGACTGAAAGAACCTGGTCACTTAATGCTGAGAGCACCAAAAAAAGTAGATAGAAGGATTCTGAATATATGCTTTGTTGTCCTTCATCAAGTGAATTTAAAAATTTTTCACATCTGACCTTTGCAAGGAACCTTGGTACCAAAGAGATTGAATGCCAAAATTCCAAAAGCTCAGTTGGGTAACTGAGCTAAGAATATCACTAGTCACTAGGCTTTTTTCCCCTCCATTGCAGAAATATGCTTTAAGAATTAAACAAAACATATGCCAAATATTTTTGAGTACAAATATAAACCATATAGCAAAACATGAATGTCAAACTTATATTATTTCCTCTATTAACATAGTTCTCTTTTAAACACACATTTTCTGAAATCCAAACCTGGTAAATTGTTTGTTTTTTAATGTTAGATCTCTTATTAGTTAATATTTAAAGAGCTCATAGTTAGGAAGTTTCTTAATTATTTTTATAATTTGATAAATACATTTTCTAGAAGTAATGAAAGGGGAAATGACTGTTAGAACTTAATATGCAGTTAGCCAGATTCCGTGTTCTTGAGTTTTCAGGCTACTATATAGTCTTTTGTGGTATGCCAAAATCTTATGTGGATCTGGATTGACACTCCAAACTTGAGTTTGCTTTATGATCCTGTGTGGGCCTTTTCAAATAACTAGAGTTTGATTGTTAGTAGTGGAACATGATAAAAAGATAATAAGAGAAGGAATGTTTTTTCCCTGTTAGTTTATCAGGGTACATTGTTATGTAACCTGTGGCCTGGGATAGAATTTGTGTACCAATGAGTATCTTAAGAAAGGTTATGTATTCTTCCGGAATCCAGTGGAAAAGCTAAGTTTGAGAATCTACCTCTAGCCAAAATCATGAAAGAGAAAATGGCTTCCTTATTCTAAAGAGAGTGATAAATTTAATTTTGGGAAACTGGAAACTAGTGAGTATAGTGCAGATATAGGTTTTAAAAGACATGAGACCAGTTTTCTTAGCAAATACCGATACATTGGTGACTCTTATCCTATGGATCACCATGAATGGGACTGGAGTGGAGGGTTCAGAGGTGTCATCATAAACAGGATAATATCTCAAATCTGGGCAGCCCAAAGAAACAATATATCTTCCCAATTCCCTTTATCACTCCAAATAGCCAAAACATTTATCCTGAGTTCACCTACTGGTGAATTAGCACTTTATAAACCTTCACCTGCTTGCAGGACCTTTATTTTTATTTTGTTGCACAGAGGTCAGTATCTTCCTTTTCTATCTCTGATATAGTTTGTCTCAAAGGGACATTTTGATCAATTACTTTATTGCAGACTTCAGAAGATAAATATTATACAAATAGTTACAGAAAAAATTATTTTAGGAAGGAGTTGTTCAATTGCTCTAATTTACAGAGAGCAGTATCACCAAGTGACAGTGATCACATTTAGAATAAGATTTACCTGAGGGTTGATTAAAAATGTTTTCTTCTTGTTTATACCCCCAAGATATTCTGAGCCTGTAGTTTTGGGATGGGTATTAGCTATACTTACAGCAAACACAGCAGGTGATTCTGCTGCAGGCAGTTATTTAAAGATGCAGAAGTTTTTGTGGAAGGTAAGATAGTGAGTAGAGCCATGAAACTTCAATACTAAAAAGGTGCTCTAGTGTCCTAGGCAGTAACTAGGTGTTTTGCCATACATTATTTCATTTGATCTTTTCAGTAATTTGGTAAAGAAAATGTTATCTCCATTTTACAGTGAAGAATTAACCCTTAATGAGATTAAATGACTTGCCTCAAATTACATACATCAGAACTTAGAACTTCTGAGTAAATTCAGTACCCTTTATACTACACAACATAGTTTCTTAAACTCTAGAATTTTGGAACAGGAACAATGAAAGCAGAAAGGTTATTTTGACAAATGATTTTTCCCACCCACTACTATAACCTTAAAATTACTAACATGACTATCATAGTTTTGATAATTTTTTATAGTACATGGAAACTAATTTGGAAAAGTACTCACTTTCCTTGAAACTCACTTGTTTAGCCAAAACTTCTTTGCTTTGTTCTTTTTCACAAGCTGTACTGAGGTACTTATTTAATTCCTTCATATTCCTTACTTTGCTCCGTTGTCTGGCAAAGCTCATTGCCAGATGAGTGACTTCCTACCTTGCCAGTGAAATGATTGACTCCTGGTAGTGTGTACTGCATCTGCCACAAAATCAGCTGGGAAAACCACCACAACTACCCTCCAAGTAGAGAAACAAAAATCACCTTATTTTTCACTCTAGGCCCAAGGCTTCAAGTCACCAAATGACAGTGCCTTTCTAGCCTCCTATAATCAGTCTTTCTTTGAAGGGTCAAAGTTTGCCTGGCATCTGCCACTGACTTAGCAGTTATCCAGACTAATTTTAAACTTCAGAGTGATCTATTGACCTGTGTCTTTGACTGTTTTAATTGGTTAATTTGTAAGATGTGACCTCTGATATTTGCTAACTTTTTATAGGGAGTTGTATTTGTAACGGAAGAAGAGAAGAATAAAAAATATTAGTTTTAAAAGTGGCCTATGTGACTGCTTTTCTAAAAAGGTATTTAATGCTCTTAGTACTTTGGCTTATCTCTTTGAAATAAAGCTAATACACAGGATTGCCTTCACATTGTTGTGCTCTTCCTTTCTTGATTGATAATTGCATTTCCTAGAAATTGTTAATATTAGCTAAAACTACTTGGCTGCTCTATTAGAAGTTCCTTTTTTGTCAAGTTTTTCTCAAACATGTTACTGCCTCACAAGAAGTCCCAGGTATTTATAAGGTAATGGAGTACCTAATGGGCCAAATTTTATGGACATACCATGGTAAAATATAGCTTTGGGGTATTAGCTTCTCAACTTCTTTCTTTAAAAAAGAACCCCATAAGAAGTCATTGTCTCTCTCTGGACATCTTGATTTATGCTATCATTTATCAAGAAAGCTTTTTGGTTTGCTTTTATTTTATGCTTAATGATTATATAACCTAAATGTTTCCCAATCTTGTCTCTTACAGGTAGACTGGGTACAATGTGATGGTGGCTGTGATGAGTGGTTTCATCAAGTTTGTGTGGGTGTATCTCCAGAAATGGCTGAAAATGAAGATTACATCTGTATAAACTGTGCAAAGAAGCAGGGGCCAGATAGCCCAGGTCAAGCACCAGCTTCTTCCTTCATAATGAGCTACAAATTACCAATGGAGGATCTTAAGGAGACCAGTTAGCAGATGCTGAGTTAGTTTGGGACATGGAGAAAATGGACCACATTAAGACCTTAGTCATAAAATGGAGTGGTTTAGATCCACTCATAATGTTGCTTCCAAAGACAAATGGCCTTCAAAGAAAGTCCTGTAGCTGACTTCCTCTTTGCATGGACTGTGTGATCTCCATTCTGTATCAACACATCTGTGCAGAGGGTGTCTTCTTTGGTACAGCAGCTGATATTTGAGTTCATGTCTCTTTTGAGTATGGTTTGTTACATTAAGGCCAGGCATTTGAGCTCCAGGGTGGTTGGTTGGGATTAATACCTTGGTGTTACAGCAGGGCATGTAGAGATGTGTCTTAATGGCCAGTTGATATTAATTAGAGGTTTACCACGTAGAGGCAACACCCTCTGGAGGTGCTGATTACTTGGATCTCCTTAGTTAGGATAGTTACAGAGGAGTCAGAGCACCACTTTCCCTCCACTATTACGTGGTATTTAATGCCCTGAAAATATAGCTAGGAAAAGAACAGGGCCAAAGTTAACTCTTGTCAGAAGTCATGGGATACTAGTGCAGCCTAGACCTCAGCTACTTTGTGCTTGTTTGTACCAAGAAGAAACCCCCAAAAGATAGGCAGATCACCTTATCTTCCTAAGGAGGAGGATGTCTTATAGTTCAGAAATCTGACTAGATTGTATTCTGGTAAGAGAGCTTTTCTTATTTTAAGAAAAAGGAGCTTTTTGTTTTGGCTTAGAGAAGAGCAGATACATGGATCTAGCCCTCTGCAAAAGAAAGGACAAGTTAATGTTTTACTGAGCCACAGTGATGCATGCTTTTTGGGAAAACTTTCATTCACAAGTATACTAGTTACCACCAGGTTTCAGGCATGGCCATGAGCAAAACCAGCAAATAACAGCTTTTTGCCTGGCAGCCCTGACACCACTGTCTGCTGTTTCCAATCCTGGCCATTTCTGACCATGGCACACAGCAGATGCTATTGAATGACACCATGCTTCATCACAGGGTGTGGGATTGTAGGACCTCTGGGTGATGAAGTTGTTTTAGTAAATCCATTTTTTTAAAAAAGAAAAAAGGACCTGTTTTTACTTTTTCTAAATGTCTCTGACTACTGACTGTTCTATAAATAGATTATTTTTCCTTTTTTAATATACATATATGGATATATAAATATATATATTTACTGTTACAAGCAGCATATGACAAAGTTTCAGCATCAGAAATCCATTTGGGGGCTTGCTTACTCTTTTTTGCTTTTTAATAAAGAAATCCCATTCCTCCTTGTAATACAAGGAGTTAGCACTTCCTTCTCCATCCTGGCCTAACCAGATCTTCCATCTTGTTTTTGTTTAAATAAATAATTATATTTCCTTTGTGCATTGGGTCTTGTCCCTGACTGTTGGGAAACTTGGTCTTACTATATCTGTGATGGCTGTTTTGTTTTGTTTTTTGTATGTGAATGTGTGAAACTATGGTGCTGTGTCCTCTTTCTCCTGTTGTGTTCTCTGTTCTTGTTAAGGTGTTAGGTAAGCTGTGTGAAAATTCTTAATAGAAGGGGACTAATTTTTTTCAAAGAAAAAGTAACTAAAAATAGTATTTTGTCATTACTGTTCTGTGTCCCTTTTATTTGGTTTAAAAACTGTCATTTGACTTAAATTAATCAGTTTTACTTTTAAAGGGAGCAGGGTGGACCTAAAGAATAGCTTGTAGTCTCATTCCCACTTTGCCCCAATTTATTTGAAAAAAAATGTCTTCTAGTAACTAGAAGTGAAACGTACTGTCCAGTCACAGTTTGAGTGGGTATGAGGTTTAACTCAAAAGGCATCTTACAAAAAAATAAGCAAAACCTTTTCTATAAAATTGAGTTTTCATAAATGCTTTCTCTATGGTTCAGACTACCAATTTTTCAGTTACTCTTCCCTTAATAACGTTTTGAGTGTTTTGACCTGTTAAGAAGTGTGTTGCTGTGCATGTGTCTTGAGAATGTCATCTCAAGTGTGTGTGTGATTTAAGATTTCAGTGGATATTGCAAGCTGACTAATTAACCAATTTCATAAGTTTTCATTTTGCCAAACTATATAAGGATATTGTTCAAGAATTTCACTTGGTTGATGTTACAAAAGAAAGCACAGAATTTTTTGCCTTTTGGTCTTCTCTGTAAAAATCTTCAAATACTTGCGGGTTAAAAATTGAATGCAATTTTAAGTGATGGCTGTCTGGAATACATTTTAAAATATTTTATTTTTTTCTTCCTGGTCACCCAGCTACTCAGCTATCAGTGGAGGGGCATGAGGATGCTAAGAAAGATATCTAAGGTGCTTTGCTTCTTGGAACATGGTAGATGGATATAGGTAGCTGTTTAAGGAATGCCTTATGTTCTTAATATGGCATTTGCCTGCTAAAGACCTGAGAGAAAAATAAGGGCAGTCTCCAACCTTGAAAAAGCTTCCAGTTTTTCTTCTAGCATTTTGAAACTTAACGTAATATCATTTAATAGATACTGTGGGGTTTTCTGTATTTACATGAAAGTCTGAGAGGATTTGGTCTGACTCTTGACCATAAATTTAAACCAAGGCTGAGAAGAGCAGGTGAAATTAATGTTTTTAAGAGAAAGAGAGAGAAAGAAAAGTTAACACAGTCAAACCAGTTTTGGAATTAATGGACTGAGACTTTATTTAAAGAAATACTGATGCTCTAACACAAAACATTTTCTTCAGTTAGAGGGAATTACTATTTACAATTTACACCATTCTTCAGTATTTTAACATTTTATATTGAGATAATTTGAAGTGTTTCTTTACCCTTTCTATCTCCTCAAAGTTGTAATTCTTCACCATTGGTATTTTAACTTAGATGTTAATTCTTTCAAAGTTATTTCTTACTACCTTTATTTTAAACTATTTTGGCAAAGGTTATAGATTGAAAAATGAAAAAATGGTAGGGTCTTGATAGTCTCAAAGGGTGGGTCATTAGAACTATGCAAACCCCAAGTTTACAAGTCCAAGTAAAGCATTGGTAGTCTTGTTGGAGGAAGGAGCATTTTCCTCTCACAGATGTGTGTTTCACTTTGATAGGTACTGCAACAAAGCCATGTTGAGTTGTAAATAAAGTTACTGCAAACCAACTTTGCACTGCATGGTTCAAACTTGTGCCTCAATAAAATTACAAATTATTATATATCATACTTTGAATAATTGAAAAGGGAAACATTAAATCTGATTCCTCACAATATACTTTAATATTAGACTTGTAATATTAGAACAATTTTCCCTGTGCTTCACTTTTGTTCTTCTCTCCTTTTGTCTTTAGCAAGTGTCTAAGAAATTAATTGTTTTTCTTAATTTTTGGATTCTGGGTGCAATTCAGTGCATGTAAAAGAAACTCCCTGCTTGTCAATATTTTGATTCTATAGCCATTTGTGTGACATCAGCCAGTACTTCAAATAGGAAGATGAAAGGAAAAACTGAGAAAACCCCACTTTTAAAAGGTGACATTATCTACTTTTTAAAGGAGAAAGTGATGATTTGGAGTGGGATTTGAAAGTGTAAATTGTGGAAAAATTAAGCTGTACAAGTCCCACATATAACCAGGTTCAATAAAGGTTTCTGTATGAATAGGTGTGTAGTAAGTTGCTTTTGCAGTAGGTCCTTATGTATAAATTTTTTCAAAAGCAGGCAGTTGATTTGCTGTCCCCCTCTTTTTTAAAAAATTAAAATGTATTATTATTTTTTGGATATGTATGTGCCAGTTGGTCTTTACAGCATGAGAAGGGAAGGATGTTAATATATTTTGAAATTGCAGTCTTCTCTTGCCTTGAATCATACCCATCCACTACTATGCAACAAATGACATGCACTGGGAAAGGTTAGAATGTATTTTTAAAGATACATCCTGCTTATTACGTTTGCAGTACTCCAAGAGGTCTAAACAGGAATGTCTTTTGTAAACTTCGAGACCCTGTACTGATTATTGTCTTACATATTTATTCACCTTGCTAGTGAGACACTTAAATATAATATGGATTCTAATTTATCAGGGTTTTTGGTGGTGCCTTATGAAACAATATAACCTGATTTCTTTTTTTACACGTTTTGCATTTTTTGTTTTCTGAAACAATATTAGATATGGTTATTTGCATTACATCTAAATAATAAAGAACATTTTTCCTGTGTGCTCAGGTTTCCCCCCACTCCTCATTTACATTTGTGGCATCTCTGGTAAGATTTTGTAATGAGTTGTTAATGATCTGGAGGAAAACTAGCAAGTGTATGAGAGCCACTTTTCACCTGTGCCAAAGCAATTTCTAATACTGCATTTGCTCTTTCTAAAGTAAAGAACTGGCCCCAAATAATTTGGTCAGTAGTGTCATTAACTCACTACATTGCTCAGAAGTGTGAAGTTGGAGAAGTGATACCTAAAGGTTTAACCTCTGTGTTTAGTAAGAATCCAGGGATGACCAAGAAACATTTCCCCACCTTTGACTCCTGAACAATTTATTCCTTTGCAGCAAACCAGTAATTTGGAAAAGTAGTAAATACAGGTGACCATTGAACAGCATGGGTACAAGGTCCACTTATGCACAGGTTGTTTTTTTTGTTTTGTTTTGAGTAAGTACTGTAAATGTATTTTCCTTACATTTTCTTAACAGTTTGTTCTTTCTAGCTTGCTTTAGAATACAGTCTCTAGCCCTGGCTGGTGTATAGCTCAGTGGATTGAGTGCGGGCCTGCGAACCAAAGGATTGCAGTTCGATTCCCATTCAGGGCATGTACCTGGGTTGCAGGCCAGTTCCTGGCAGGGGAAGCATGAGAGGCAACCATACATTGATATTTCTCTCCCTCTCTCCTTCCCTTTCCCTCTAAAGATAAATAAAATATTTTTTTTAAAAAGAATGCAGTCTCTAATACGTATAACACACAGTATGTGTCACTCAACTGTTACTGGTAAAGTTTCCAGTCAACTTCAGGCCATTAATAAAAGTTAACTTTGGGAGAGTCAGAAGTTATATGTGAATTTTCAACTGCATGGGGATATGCACCTCTAACCCTGGCATATTTCAAAGGTCAACTGTACTTTCCTTTGGCCTCCTGATGCTTAAAACTTACTTGAGAAAAGTATCGTAAATAGCACTTTTTTCTCCTTGCTAACATTACCAGGCCATCCAGCCATTGTTGAAAATGTTAAGGTTTTCTTGCAATGAAATTTGCCTCAGACATGAAGTGCGTGACTGTGTGTATGTATTGGGGAGAACTGGTGGGCAGAAGAGGAAAAAGTCTGGTTATCTCTTAATTTGGAAAAGAATTTTCTTGCCAACAAAGACACCTGAAATTTTATAAGGTAAATTATAAAAATTGTTTTTAAAAATTGTTTGAGGACTTCCGCCAAGATGGAGGCATAGGTGGATGTGCCATGCCTTCTCACGCAACCAAGTTTAGAGACAACTAAATATTAGCAACAGAAAACACAGCCAGAACACGAAAAATTGAACTTTTCGGAAGTCCATTAACAACAAATTCTTCAGCCTGACCGGTAAGGGGCAAAACCAGCGGCTGGTGAGGGGTTGCACAGGAGGACTCGATCAGACGGACTCAGGCGCGGAATCCAGGCGCAGGGTTGGACCTAGTGAGCGACCCAGCGAGCCACCAGGCGAGCAACTGTGGAGGAGACAGCGGGGAAGCGGTGCTGCGTGTTGACCGTGGTCGCCCATTTGTGCGCAAGCGGACAGGCGAGGGAGTGGGCGGTTGGACCGGGGGCCGGCCGGTCCCCGCGGCAAGTGGCAGTAGAGGGCGCCGCCATTTCTCTGCTCTGACCACGCCCCCACATACAGCATCACAACCCAGCGACCTGGGAGTCCAAGGCACCGCTTCTCATACTTAAAGGGCCAGAACAGACCAAAAATGTCGCAAGTTCTCAAAGCCCCAGAGCCCATAGATCTAAGCGATGAAGAAATAGCAAAACTCTCAGACGCACAGTTTAAAACACTGGTCATCAGGATCCTCATAGAACTGGTTGATTATAGCTACAAATTAGACAAATATATGAAGGCGAAACTAATTGAAATGAATGGAATTGCACAGGACACCAATAGCAATGAAAAGGAAACTGGGACTCAAATCAATGGAGTGGACCAGAAGAAAGCAAATAATGGCCAAACAGAAAAGAGTCAGGAAGCAAGAATTCAAAGAAATGAGGAGAGTCTTAGGAACCTCCAGGACATCTTTAAACGCTCCAACATCCGAATAATAGGGGTACCAGAAGGGGGAAAGGCACAGCCACCAGTGGAAAACTTATTTGAACAAATAATAAAGGAGAATTTCCCCAATCTGGCAAAGGGAAATAGACTTCCAGGAAATCCAGGAAGCTCAGAGAGTCCCAAAGAAGTTGGACCCAAGAAGGAACACACCAAGGCACATCATCATTACATTAGCCAAAATTAAAATGAAGGAGAGAATCCTTGAAGCAGCAAGAGCTAAGGGGACAGTCACCTACAAAGGAGTTCCCATCAGACTGTCAGCAGATTTCTCAAAAGAGACCTTACAGGCCAGAAGGGGCTGGAAAGAGGTATTCCAAGTCATGAAATTCAAAGACCTACAACCAAGATTGCTCTATCCAGCAAAACTTTCATTTAGAATGGAAGGACAGATAAGGTGCTTCTCAGATAAGATCAAATTCAAGGAGTTCATCATCACCAAGCCCTTATTATATGAAATGTTAAAGGGACTTATCTAAGAAAAAGAAGTTAAAGAAACATGAACAGTAAAAGGACAGCAAACTCACAGTTATTAACAACCACACCTAAAACAAAAGCAAACTAAAAGGACAGCTAGATCAGGAGTGGAACCATAGAAATGAAGATCTCAAGGAGGGTTAGCAACAGGGGAGTGGGAGGAGGAGATGGGGGGAGAAGGTACAGAAAATAAGTAGCATAGACAGTAGATAGAAAATAGATGGGGAGGGCAAGAATAGCATGGGAAATATAGAATCTAAAGGACTTGAGACACATGGTCATAAACTAAAGGGAGGGTAATGGTGGGGATGGGGGGGTAGGGTGGAGGGGAATGAAGGGAATAGAACAACTGTAACAGCATAATAAAAAAAATTTTTTTAAAAGAAAAATTAAAAAAAAATAAAATAAAAATTGTTTGGGGATCATGTTACAGAACAGAGGTCCAAGGTGGGGCAATATTTGGCCCACCCAGGGATGCCAAAGAAACTGTTAACAGATACACCAGGGCCCTGGACTCCAGAGGATGGTATACTAATACCATCCAGACCCCCCTACTGGGCCCAATCTTCCGTTGCCAATTGGAAAGACATCTCTCAATGCCAGAGATTTGTGAAAAGGAAACGAAATGTTTATTTAATGCTATTCAGACCTAATGCCTTCATTAAAATATCAAAGTCCTTTAAGGTTCTCTCTCTCTCTCTCTCTCTCTCTCTCTCTCTCTCTCTCTCTCTCTCTCTCTCTCTCTCTCTGTCCCCCACTCCCTTCTACTGTCTTAACTCCGGGTACCGTAAATTAGGAAAAGAGCACATGTCTGTTTTTTCCAGGCCGCTGGTACCTTCAGCTGTGTTGATGTTTAGGCAGGATCTCCAATTAATCCAAAGTCATGTGGCACCTTCCACTGGCAAGACTTCTTTGTACCAGTTTCTCCAAAGTCTCTCCTGCTTTCCAGGCCACACAGCCAAAGGAAGCTCCACCAAAAGTGCGTGTCTTCACCTGGCTGCAGGGATCTCCATTCTGGTAAAGCTGTGTGGTTTTCCCTTCCACCTGGGAAAGGGGGCGGGTCTGCACTCTGCCAAAACCGCATGGCTCCCTCTTTCACCCCGCCAAGAGGGGGTTCTCACTCTGCCAAAAACCACATGGCTCTCCCCAATGGCTGCCTTGTCTGGGTTTAAATCCCTGCACTAATCTTCCTCTGTACCCCTATTTTCAACTCCTCCCACGATCAGTTACACCTGCCAGTATTTCTTTACTGGGCTGCCATAGTGAGTCTGGGCAGGTATTGCCCCGTGTCATGGAGCCAATCTCCAAGCTCCCACTTAGGTGCTGTAACTCAGGGGACCTGCCCCCCAGTTTCATCTTGGGGGGGAAGTGACTTCATCCCCCTATCTCCAAGCCTGGCCACAGCCATTTAACATACCCAAGTGACCCGCCAAAGGCTATAGATACGTTAAATGACCATGCCATGGATTAGCTGCAAGGCTGTGGCTGTATAAAATAGCCCTGCATGTTCTTGCTCCATGTGCCATTTCCCCAACTCACACCTGTGGGGGGAGGGGGGAGGACATCTTGTATGTCGCCCAGTATTCCTATACACTTGAGTTCTGGACACCATTCCAAATCTTTTTTTGCTCCCCCCCCCCACCGGCTGCACCCTGTATCAACCCTCCTAGTTCAGATCAAACGTTTCTGTAGCCTTGGAACTGTAGTTGATACCAGTAAACTGAAGATCCAGAATCTGTCTATGCAAAGGCTAGCCATTAATTGGGAAGTCACACATGATACAAGTAAAGAACAATACAAAGAACACAGTCAAGTACTATATTATGTGAATAAATTGAGTGGTTTTTATAATTTAATATTCCCATAAAGTTATGTGAAATTACAAGGCAAGGATTTTCTCTAACCTTGTGCTTGGAACTAGGTCCTATATCTTGTTACTGGGAAGAAAAGGCAACACAGGAAGCTTTACCTCACAACAAACCATTCGTTTGTTGATGAAGTGTATATTA